CTATAATCGCGTACTATACTAAATGATGTAAACATAAATATTGGCTCAGCATCCTGGTAGCATATGTGATGGTTTTTCACATTACAATGCTGAACTTAATGGAGCTCTCAATAGGTAGGACTTCTTTTTTGTGCTTGGGTTGAGTTTCGTTTAATTTTAAGCCTTTGAAGTTTCTATGTTTAGGGCTCTACACCTGTTATAAACTAGAAAAATAGTAGCCAGGTGCTTTTGTTTGTTGTTTGTATTTCAGCTTCTTCATGTCATTGCAACTTGTTCAGTTAAAGCTACCTACCTATAGCCTTCATGCAATAAACGTCGGGGTCAAACTTTGGGGAATATAGTACATGATTATTATTTGATATTCTATGTAAGGATAGGTAATATATCTTCCTTCATTGTTCGCTAGTTCTCAAAGTATGACAGAAATTAGATGTACAAGTTTTGAGAATAAGTTCTACCTTTGGTGTGCTTTGTGCTCTGGATGAAAAAGTTGGTATTTGCTCTTCTTTTGATCATAAATCCATGTTTTGTTATTATATTATGCCAATGTGTCATCTAGTTGGTTTTATGCCATTTAACTATCTACAAAATTTCCCACTCATTCCACCATGCGTTGTTTTATTTCTTTTGTTTTACAGTGAAAACACACAAATGGAACTCTTGATGTGCATAACTGATTGTTAATCACTCAATTCTTTGTGGATTACATTACTTCTTTCATGGAGGGAAACAGTTGCATGTGATCTTTAATCTGTTTCCTAACTTTGACTTGGGTGGAATGGTGCAGGATCGATTCACTCTCTGTTTTGCCTGCATCCTTTGGATTGGAAGATGCATCTAAGATTTTGTTACTTTGTCCATCTGTCCAGTCAGCCCTGAAGGTGAATTCCTGTTATACAGTGATTGCTGATTCACATAATTCTTGATTTATGGTCATTTGTTTTGTTTTCATTTTCAGGATAACAAGGCACTTTTGGTGGGGGAATCCTATATATTTAGCAATGGCTTTGTCAAGGTATTTGTTATTTGAGGCATTGCTCCCTTATTGATTGTGATATGAATTGTAGCTGTCAACCTGGGTCATATTGATGTCATTCTGCTGACCTTCGTTTCAAGAGAATTCTCTCTCCTCTTTCTTTTGTCTCCATATTTTGTCCGTTTGAATTTTGTGACTCTTGTTGATTAAAAGGCCAAGTAGTTTCTGTTGAGGTTTATTTAGCCCGACCAATTTTGTCTCTTAATAAAGTCTTGATGTCAGCGACTTCTTTTCATTGGCTAGGATATATATGACCAAATTGAAAAGGAATCAGAAGCCTTTAGTCTCTCAAGGTCTTCTTCTGTCCCTCAGAGTGGTGATTCAGATTTTACCAAAGAAGCCAAAGTTGGGCATGATTCCGGCAGGTTTGAATCAGTAGAAAGGAGCAATGAGACTGGTAATAGTAAACTTGCTACTGAAAAAGGATCAAGAAAGAAAAAGGGTAAAGCTTCTGGGTCAAAAGCAGCTGTACCTGAAACTGGTTCAGACAATCAAGACTATGTTTCAACAAAATCCAAGAAAAACCAGAAGAAAGGAAGGGATTCTTCATCCTCACAGGTGGCAGATTCAAAAGCAGCAACTAAGAAAGATTCTTTTAAAATGCAAGAGGATAATTCTAATGTCCCTTCTGAAGACTGGGTAATGCAGAAAATCATGAGCATGGTTCCTGATTTTGCAGAACTAGGTAGGCTCAGTTAACAACATATGATTGAGCTCATTAGGCATTAGACTTTGTTGACTAATTCTGAAACAAGCAATGGTATAATGTGGCAGGTGATGAAGATGTTGAAACAATTCTTCGTCAATTAGCAAATTATATGAGACCAATGCTCATAAATTATTTGAAGGAGAAAAGAAAGGCGTTGTTCACTGAAAATGCAGAGAGAATGAAATGCTTGCTTGACGACCTGCAGAAGAAACTTGATGAGGTTGAATTTATTTATTTTGTGTTTTCTCCTGCATATAGTGTTTTGTAAGTCTGGTCATTATTGTCCTATTACCTTTTGTTTCAGAGATCTTGCCCATCACTTCAACCCTTCTATATCTTATCTTAACTGTGTTTTCTCTGCTTTTGGGTTTTGGCTCTTCTGTAGTCTTTCTTAAATATGCAGCTGTATGAAAAAGCATTAGATTTGTTCGAAGATGACCAAACAACTTCAGTAAGTTTTTCTTTCTGCCCCCTTCATGCTGATTTTCTAAAGGTTGATATTGTTGATGGAAAATCCTTGTGTGCTGTGCAGGTTATTTTTCACAGGCATTTGTTAAGAGTGATAGGTGCTCCTATCATGGATATGCTGTTTCGTAACTTGGTAGAAAGATTTATATTATTTTTCATCTTTAAGTCACCTTGATTTAGGTTCCTAAAACTTATGTGACAATATGGGATAATCCTTAATTCTTCCTATGTAGGATGTTTACAATAAATTAAAGAATGGGATTGAAATTGAAGATTCTCAACAGCAGGAATCTGTTACACTTAGTCCTGGAGAACGAACTGCTCTTGTATGAGATAGTTAGCCATTCTATCTATTTTTGTGACACATGATTCAGGTTATAGTTTTCTAATGAGAAATTGTCTTCATTATTCCATTTCCTGTCTCTTCTTTGTGCAGGCAAAGAGTTTTCCAGGATCACTCTCAAAGAAGGCTCTTACAGTAGTTGAAGCTTTGGAAGGGAAGGTTAGCTGTTTGTCGAAAAAATTCCTCTCCATGCTAAATTTTGTCATCAGAAAAGTACCACTAAGTTCCATTGGGAATTAACTGACTGCATTTATTGTTCAACACAAACTGAGATTTGCAAGAATATATGTACAACTGTCTCTGGCTTTTAGAAAGGTTATTTGATAGTGTTCTGTATATAAGTTCTTGAGTTTCTGTTGCTTTTTTTTTATTGTGCTAACATGATGATAGTATTTTTCTTTTCGTTACAGTCTCCTTTTTTTTTTTCTTTATGCTTGATTGGGATTGTTATATATTCCTGCATTTGTGCATCTATCATCTGAGAAACTTTTGATTAGACTTGCTTCTTGAAGGCTTATTGATTTTGAGAACTGTATTTCACTTTTTTAGTTTTTCTTTGTCTCTTGTACTTCATTTCTCGCAATTTGCTTGAATTATTTTTTTAACATTGAATGTTGTATGCATCAGCAAGTGGAGATATTCATGGCTGCATTGCGAGATGTAGCAGAAGAAAGGTACTTGTTTCTCTTTATTATTTGCTTTTTGCACCACTCAGAATTTTTTGGTATGGCATTTGCATTTAGTAGTTTGTTTACTCTTTTTGCAGTGCATTGCCATTGAAAAAGCTCGAAAAGAAGCTGGAGAGAACTCTTTTGCATTCATATCGCAAGGTGCGTTTTCTTTTCAGCATTTATGATAATGTTGGTAATTATTTTATGTCTTCTGATTGATCGAATTCATGATTAGGCTGGGTTGGTACCTTGTGTCCTTGTTTGTAATTTTGACTTGTTAAGATAACACGTCTAACAGCATGATTGAAAAAAGAAGGTATCTTGTTGAAGACAATGTTTCTTTCTTTTTCCCTTAACGAAAGCATAGTGCATAAAGGTGTATTGCTTCATTTTATCTTCAGCCAGTTTACTGTAGGATTACGCTCTTCTGTAGATAGTCACTGATTTGATTGACCAATTAAACTAGAGTTATAACTTGGAATTCATCTTTGGTGTATCTGCATTCTTATTATGTTGCTGGCAGGATTTGACATCTCAAGTTTCTGCTGAAACTGACCCAGTTACTCTTCTGCCGAAAGTTG